ATGATTTACTGGTGGTGTCGAAACTCTACTAAAATACTAAATATAAATAACGTAGTCGATCACGAAAACATGTAATAACACGATATATTGTAAGCAGAATGATTGCACTTTAATTTGCACGAGTCGACTTTATAAGATGTTTTGTCAAAGTTGAAGTAGTATAATTGGAAAATAACTAACTTGATGTTAATTAGTACAAGTCTACTACCTATTCATAACCTAATGCAATAATAACTTGAACTAATAAATTTAATCTTAGTGATCGCTTAGGAGAGTGTGTGGTAAATAGATCATTAAAAAGAATTCGTCTTAAAAGGCACTAATAAGCCTTTTGCTCTATGGAATTATATTTTAATCAAGTTACTTGCAGATCACGAAGAAGAGTGGGTTTTAGTTTAGAGATTTTAAAATTATTTCGTCTGTTCTATATTCTGGAGAAAAATAGGCCAGTGTCAATCTTATGCAAAAAGCGGCGTAAGTGACTCTTCTGTCTAAAATATGCTCAGACAATGTAACCAAATTATCTATTTTGTTTGACATTGTACGTCAGTCTATTTGCATCTAGCCAGGTCGGACAACCAGCCATTCAGCCATGAATAAAATCAAATAGACATGCGGTCTCATATATAGCTATCAGATGGATATTATGCCGACTACCATCAACTAGATGACACGTAGCCACCTTTCTCATCACAACCAATCATGTATACTCAGGTCTGTGGCGTTACGTCGATCTCTTTTGATCAGAAACGCCTTAGACTACGCCTATAAAAAGGAGCCTTATTGTGGCGCGAATGAAGCCGCAAAAGGCGAAAGGTGAGAGAAAACGCTGAAGGAGATGTGAATATTCGCGTCGTACCTCCAGGCCATTTAATTCAATTGTCATAACTGTGATTTTAGGACCTATATTTTACTGATGAAATATCTGAGACGATTGTAATCTTGCTGATCATGCGAACTTTTCTCCAGCTCGTGCAGAGTTTCAGTATTTTGTTATATTCCCTACAGTTTGTGGGTCTTTACAACGTGTTGACCAGCCTAATCCCCAATTCCCCTAGTTCATACGTCTTCTCGTGAATACCTACTTGCCATATTAGAGTGTAATTGTATTCTGAGTGGTTCTGCATATGTGTTGCTTTTCATCCTAAAACTATAGGCATGCCACACTTTGGAAAATTAAAAAAACAAGACAAGGAACCCCATTATCTGCTAGAAAGAACTGTTGGCTCCTGCAAAGATGAACTTTTAGAAGTCACCATTGACAGTGGTCATCGGCAATCACAGCTACCCAACCCAGACGACCTGACAACTTGCCCTTGGGTGCTTGTCCCATTGGCCCGTTACACAGCAGTTCACCTTATCTCTGCCCTCCTGCTTTTCCCCATGGCAACAGGGCTCTTCATGATCGAAATAGTCGAATTCTACTTGAAAGAAATACGCTACCGAGAGACGGGTTTCGGAATATGGGCGGGCGTGCCTCTCGTTTGCTCTGCTTTTCTTGCCGCTGTACTCTACTGGCAGCCACGCCGGCGTCATTTAGCTCTCGTATCCATGGCGGCAGACTTGCTTGGTCAATTAGTTGGCACAACTGTGCTCATCGTTTGGATCTCCGACCTCTTGAATGCTTCGGCCAAAGCACCGGCTCCAGTCGACCCTGCTGACGTCTGCCTACTAGCAGCCACAATACTAGGGATTGTGACCAGTTTAGGGCACATGTCCTATAGCATAAATTACAGTTGCCGGTGTGCCAGGAATGGAAAATCAGTAAATGAGGAAATGAGGCTCTCCGGCTAGCCCGACAGTGCTGGAATTCCAGCGAGATCGGCTTATCAATCTGGACCGGCGCTGTCATAACATGTCGTTCACAGGATAAGACAGTACAAGAAATGCAGCTTTAGAGAGACTAAGAATAAAACAAAAATGAGGATCCCACTATAGCAAGACGGTCAATTAAGCCATTTGACATTGACACACATCCATATTAGATGCTTACTAGGAAACATGCCAAGTCCACAGAACAATAGAAGCAAAAAGTCAAACAAATTAATAGTTCACATTTTTTCAGTGTAGAAGACCATAAAAATTGCAAATGCTAAAGCAGAAAAGACGCCTCATTTAGCACAGAGCTATACATGGTGCTACCTAAGCGTAAGGACAATAGAAAGACCCCGGATGCAAAGGAGTTCTCCGATAATGCAAAGATATTCATACTCTAGTCAATATGCACATCTTGAATCATTCTCTTTGCTTCTCTTCAATATATTTTTCATTTTCACACCTCCATCAAAGGATATTTTTATTCTTTCGAGAAAACCTTTTCCAAAACAACACTGGCTTTAAATACTTTTAATAAACAACTATATGACTCTGCCAACCTTACGAAGTCCTTCATTGTAATTCCTTCTTCTTTTGGAATATATTTTAGTTCCTTCTTTAAAAAAAGCGAAAGCTCTATGTGCTACATATGGAAGAAGTCTTTGGCAACCCAACTGACTTCTTCCATAAAGAGCATCCAAATGTCTGAATTTTCATAAAAGGATAAATATTTCAAAGCTGCCTCCTCCCTATTTCAAAACTAATCTCCTAGGCTTTTGCTAAAAGTTTATGAAACTCGAAGACAGATAAACTTTATCATAAATGTAACTTTAATT